TCTACTCATTGAAAACCCAGGCCCACAGTACATAATTCCCAGATGAAATACTGATCAGAAATCCCTCCCCCAATAAATAAATACATACAAAAATGTATGTAAATGAATAACAACAACATATAGAGCCCTAAACCGAACATGAAAACAAGTCTGAAAGCATCGGAGTGTGCATAGGTGAATGCTACTCAGTATTCATCTATAAATGTCCATATATGCTGAAATACATGTGAAGAACCTCTCACACACTCACAGCTCACTGACAAGAGAGAGCCAGCTTAGCTACCAACGCACACATCGTGTCAGCAAGGCGGACAGTCAGCCTGCTATCACAACTCGCACTGAATTTCCCATTTCTAAACTTTCCCCTAACATGTGCCTCTCCATCCTCTTTACTCCCTTTCTTTCCCTCCCGCCCCACAAAAAAAGTACAAAGCCCTGGAAAAACTGTTATATAACTCTACGGAAAACACATTCCTGATTTCATACTTTATGAAAATTGCATGGTACTGCTATAAATACAGATATTTCTTAAAGAGAGGCACTAGGGCCGACCCTGATCGATCTCTGACACTCACATATAATACCATGAACGTGTTGAAATGCCACTTGTTCTTCCTTATTTTCCTGTAAACCTTACAACCTGAAGCTACTAGATAAACCCAGTCTCCAGGATTCACTTCAATGCAATTCATCCTAGAAACGTAAACGGTAAATGCGATTTATTTTTGTCACTCTTTCAATTACTTAACGCACGACCTTAAAGACCAATAACAAATCTCAGAAGACTCCTCCCCAATCCTTCCTCTCTTCCAGTCGTGTCTTCACACACAAACAGATTAAGATTTACATATATTATTCGCACTAACAATTTATGGCCCGTCTCCTTTTGTCGAGGCGTGATGAATGCTTCCTCTCTCTCCTGCTTCCAATATACAGCATTTGGGTTTACGACAGCCTGATCTGGGTTATAAGGGATGGGTGGATGAGGGAATTACAGCATTTCCCAAGTGGCAAACTTGCTGGGATATTGTTAGCCTGATTTCTCCAATTAGTCATTACCTCAGGTTCCGAAAACCAACAAAATAGAACCGAGGTCCTATTCCATTATTCCTTGCATAGACATTCAGGCCATTAAAGTAGCCTGCTTATATATATATATACATATATATATATATATATATATATATATATATATATATATATATATATATATATATATATATATATATATAAATGGATGCTCACGTGAGTGAACTCCCATGGAAGTATATACACAAAGACGAGCGTTTCATATGTACACACACACACACACACACACGATCTCGGGGGCCTCGTAGCCTGGTGGATAGCGCGCAGGACTCGTAATTCTGTGGCGCGGGTTCGATTCCCGCACGAGGCAGAAACAAATGGGCAAAGTTTCTTTCACCCTAAGTGCCCCTGTTACCTAGCAGTAAATAGGTACCTGGGAGTTAGTCAGCTGTCACGGGCTGCTTCCTGGGGTGTGTGTGTGGTGTGGGATAAAAAAAAAAAAAAAGTAGTTAGTAAACAGTTGATTGACAGTTGAGAGGCGGGCCGAAAGAGCAAAAAGCTCAACCCCCGTAAAACACAACTAGTAAACACACACACACACACACACACACACACACACACACACACACACACACACACACACACACACATGGCCCCAATCACAATGTATTTCACACACCCACCACCTCCCCTCCCAGCCACCAGAATTTCCAACCCTTCCTCTCTTATCCCAAACCCCCAAAGTTCCTCACCCCCGCAAACCCCCAGAACTCTCCTCGCAAGAAATTTCCTTCGAAGCAAAATATTCCCCTACGAACCTATCCCCACCACTTATCTCCAAGCCAGTCAGATCTTACCCCCCCCCTAGTATTAACTCGGTAAATTTCGCGATCTCCGACAATCTGAGAGAAAGTTTTTATGGATGGTAATGAGACCTGTAAACATTTAGAGTTGATGTCTCGTTGATTTCCCCAATGTCGAAGCGTAGGAATTGGGCTTGTTTGTGTGTCCCGAGTGTCTCTGTTTTGGTGTTTTTTAAAGCAGTCCTTGGTCGTTAAAGAGGACGTAACGGAAAATTAATTTGGCAGTTTTAATAAAGACAGGCGTTGGTGTGTGTGTGTGTGTGTGTGTGTGTGTGTGTGTGTGTGTGTGTGTGTGTGTGTGTGTGTGTGTGTGTGTGTGTGTGTGTGTGTGTATTTCAGAGACCCAATCCGCCCTCAGTTAAGTTTGATACTCAGACGCCTCAGCAGATTAAAACGACGAAACTGGGAGAGAGTTCAGATGAAGGGAAAGGGGAGAGAGAGAGAAAAGAGAGAGAGAGAGAGAGAGAGAGAGAGAGAGAGAGAGAGAGAGAGAGAGAGAGAGAGAGAGAGAGAGAGAGAGAGAGAGAGAGAGAGAGAGAGAGAGAGAGAGAGAGAGACAGAGACAGAGACAGAGATAGAGAGACAGAGATAGAGAAAGAGACGTACGACACAGAAAGGCAAAGTGGAAGTGACAAAGTGGAATCAATTATTGGAAAAGCAGATGAAATTGATCATCTCACTTCGAAGATAATTAGAACACGATAGGAACCACACACACACACACACACACACACACACACACACACACACACACACACACACACACACACTCAACCCCCGCAAGCACAATTAGGTGAGTACACACACACACACACACACACACACAAGATAAATATTCCAAGATATTCCGAGCAGAAAAGAAGGGATACGACCAACATGAAAGCTATACAAATAATTACTTAAAATTACAGGAAGAAATGGTTAAATATCGCAAAAACGAACAAGCACTAATAAAACCGTGATAAGCCCTCATAGAGGAATGAAGAAGAAGAATACATCTTACGTATAACTGCTTAAGAAAGACTTGAGATGCATTTGTCTCACGTTATTTCTTCAATGTCGGTGTTTTTCTTTAGCTGTACACAGCATAATAAAAAAGCGGGGAAAACAGAGAGTAAGGAACGCATGGAAGGGGGAAGTGGAAGAGAGGAAGAAATGATAGCGAAGGATTACCTTAGCAAAAGCACGGGGGAAGGGGGGGGGATTACAGATATAGAAAGAGCAAAAGAATAAATTGACCTAAATATAAGTGTGGAAAGAACGGGATGTTGCACCAAGCACAGAGAAGCATCCAATTTCCATAAACACTAAAGACGGAATATAACACGTTCCCAGGCGTGGTAAATATACTTACATTGTATGCTGGAAAAATGGATATACTTATACTTTCGCTTATATACACAAAAGAAAACGGCAGCAAACTTTTACCGTGAAAGAGGTGTATATCCAGGTATATATATATATATATATATATATATATATATATATATATATATATATATATATATATATATATATATATATATATATATATATATATATATTAAAATGCCTAGTCTCTAGTCAGTATTTTTGGTTTGTCCCTAAATGGCAATTACTTTTCGACTTTGATTAAATGCATATATTCCATCTAGCATACATAAATGCATACATACATGAATGAATAAATGCATACTGATACATACATCCATCCACCTGTACATTGATGAATGTAATGGCTGGTGGGCCTTGAGTCTCCCTTGATACATTGCTGCAAAGCTCAACAAGAATTTAAAGCCACGTATTTTATGTGATATCAATTTATTGGTTAATGTTAATAACAACGTCGATAACAGAGATTCAACGTTAGATAACAGGAGGGCCAAAGGAAAAGAGGACGGAAGGGAGGGAGGGAGGGAGAGAGAGAGAGAAACAGACAGACCCTGGCACATACGGGTGTACCACATATATATAGTATGTATATATAAATTTTTATATGAGAGAATAGCTCAGTGTCGATCTATGGGCTCATCATAGCTCGTGCTACTTGGAACTTCTTGTTCCAGGTAGCGAATCTTTAATAACAACAACAGCTTAGTGTCTTTCGAAGGGTGCAAGTCAGACGCTTGCGGCTAGACACACAACTTTGTAAGAAAAAATGGTCAGGGTATTGGACGGATATAAGTATGTTGTGGGGGGGGAGATTGGTCTAAGTTCAACACTTTAAGAACTATTTGCATTTATAGACACTCTCCCCCCCCCCTCTCCCCTCCCTTGCGATTTTCTTGGAGTCAATTGTAAAATATTTGATGATTATATAGAGTTGATCAGTGTTCCCTAATGAAGAATTTTCTGAGAGACTCATAGAGTTGTTTGAGTGCATAATAATAAATTTTCTGAGGGGAGAAGGGGAAAGACAGGAGGGACGAAATGGAGGGGACCATAGGGGTGGAGACTAGTGGGGTGAAGGGGAAAATGTGGTGAAGTGGAGAAATACTGGGAAAGATGAATAGATCCTGGGGCAGCTCCTCAAAGTTGGAGGCCAGACGGATCAGGGGGGAGGGGAGATGGAGGTTCTGGGGGGAGTGGCGGTCAAGATGGGTGGAATAGGAGGGTGGGGGAAGAGACAGACTATTCCTGGCACTCCCAGGCATCTCTTCTAGTGCATGCATATATATATATCACAGAATGTCTGTTTAAAGTTGGGAGTCAGACGCTTATTGCTAGTCTCACCAAACTTTGCATGGTGACTGGCCTTTGACTAGTGCCCACCTAGAGTTGCCGCGGATCGCTTAGTTAAGCTATATATATATATATATATATATATATATATATATATATATATATATATATATATATATATATATATATATATATATATATATATAGCTTAACTTGGATATAAACCCGAACAAGGTAGGTCTTGTATCAACAAGACCTACCCTGTTCGGTTCCTATCTTGTCCTAGGAAAATAAGAAAATATTATTTTCCGCATTATTATAGGGAAATTTTCAGAGCGAAGGGAATAAGTTTTAATATTTAGTTAGGATAATACTTCAGGGGCGGCCCCCTCCTGGCCCTGGTGACTTGTGTGTGTTTCAGAGCCGCCCCAGCTGGCGCCCTTCACCATGCCGGAGTCGCTGTGGGCGGGGTCGCGGGTGGCGGTCCAGTGCGTGGTGGAGAGCGGTGACCCGCCCGTCACCCTCACCTGGCTCCACAACGGCGCCCCGGCCACCGCCACCGCCGGGGTCATCGTCAGGCCCCTGGGCCAGTTCGTGCTGGCACTCGTCATCGAGCGACTGGGGCCCCATCACACCGGCAACTACACCTGCCAAGCCAGCACGCCGGCGGCCTCGGCCTCTCACTCGGCCGCCCTCAGCGTCCACGGTAACTACCGCTCGGCCGCCGCGCTAACTGCCTCTTCTTTTCCAGTGCCGCCTTCCATCAAGCCCTTTGACTTTGGGTCGCTGGTGTCTGGGATGAGGACGACGGTGACGTGCGACGTGCAGATGGGGGACCCGCCCATGACGCTGCTGTGGCTGCGGGAGGGCCACGTCCTCACGCCCACCGCCGACCTCCAGCTCAGCCAGCACGACTCTTTCTCCTCCAGCCTGGTGATGACGCACGTGCGGCCCCACCACGCCGGCAACTACACGTGCGTGGCGCGTAACGAGGCGCGCGAGGTCCGCTACACCGCCCAGCTCCTCGTGCGCGGTAACGTACATGCGGCCAGGTGGCGCATCGCAGCACTACAGCACAGCACCGCACAGCACCGCACCGCACGCTCACCACCCCCCCAGCACCAACCATTAACATGTTTATTCTCTAATTACAGGGACGAAGTACCGCGCTCTAGCGAGGCACCGTTTATGCGCACACACACCATTGGCACTCTTCTCCCCCCCCCCCCTCTTCTCACCCCACAACCCCCCCACCCCTCTCACAGGCACTCACGCCAAGCACAACTCTTAGTCAGCACGCTGAGTCCATCACCAGGGTGCCTAAGTGCCTCTTAAAGGCTCGAGCTTCAGGACATGTGCTGCTCAGCAAGTGCTTGTGTGTGGTGGTGTTAGGGGCGGTGATGTCCCCTCTCCTGCACGACGTAATAACCCAGCACTCTTTTGATCTCTTTCAGCTGCACAGTATCATTCACCTGCACATGCTAGACTTTGGTCGTGTTTTGTAGTGTGTGCTCATGCCTGGCTGCTTCCTCCACACTACTTACTTCACAAGCCATCCACCGAGTATATACACATCTCAACATTTTGCAAAAAAATATTTTTTTAATTTAAATGCCGGTCATATCTTAAAAAAAAAGTATTTAGTTTTCTAAAATCTGTATTTTTTTTAGTTTTGGTTACCTATCGTTATTCCGCATTCCACCTCCATCTTCTGTTAGAAATAGATTGACAATAAAATAAAATGAAATAATTGATTCTATTCACCTGGCCTCTAGAAGGCACGAACCGTGGTCCCCACACGTATGACGCCGAAGCTCTATCAACACAGCTATTGAGTAGTCTATTAAAATAATTTATACTTATCTTTTGCCGTATTAATAACAATATTAACAGCGGCCGGTGCACCAACATAACAATATCCAGTATCTTTCATAATCTGTTATGGTGGAGCAGATCATACTCACCTATCTTGAGGTTATCTTGAGATGATTTCGGGGCTTTAGTGTCCCCGCGGCCCGGTCCTCGACCAGGCCTCCACCCCCAGGAAGCAGCCCGTGACAGCTGACTAACACCCAGGTACGTATTTTTCCTGCCAGGTAACAGAGGCATAGGGTGAAAGAAACTCTACCCATTGTTTCTCGCCGGCGCCTGGGATCGAACCCAGGACCACAGGATCACAAGTCCAGTGTGCTGTCCACTCGGCCGACCGGCTCCCTACACTCTACATTCCACAAGTTAATTAAATCTCTCAATTCACTTTCCTATAAACTGCTCATGTTCGATATAGAGATTAAACCCACACTGTTAGATGTGCATACAGGGTGATGCAAAAGCTACATATATAGGGGAGGGGGGTATTATTTTTTAATAATATGTAACATTATTTTAGAAATATGCTTTGCATACATACTGATTTTTTTAAGTCATAGCGAACGAGGAAAAGATGCAGAATATGAATCACGTGAATGAACGCATTTTCCTGCGAATAGTAAATGCGATAATGAGTGTACGATGAGTAAGGGGATCCACCATGAGTTAGGGGGTCCACCATGAGTAAGGGGGTCCACCATGAGTAAGAGATTCCCATTCATAAGTGTTTTATAAGTAATGGCAACCACCGCAGGGCATATTTTCTGAATAAAGTTACACTTTGACAAAAAAAATTTACTTCTCCCTATATATATAGAGAGAGAGCGCGCGAGAGACATTTGGACTATCTTGTAATATTTACAAAAACCAGTTGAGGTTCTGATCGGAAGACAACCACTGGAGCTAAACCTCAAAACGGCTTCCTCTTTGCAGTTGCCCACTGCCATCCTCTGCAGTTGAAAGCCTTATTGGCACCCCCTCTGAATTTGAGGTTCCAAATTGTATATAACCTTGACAGATGAAGTTTTTCCAACTGCTAGTAGGAAAAATTGAGGTTCTTATGTAATTGAGGTTCTCACTGACATTCGAATTTGAGGTTCAAACAGGAACCTCCGTACAGTTGATACACAACTGTAGGTAACAGAAATCAGTCTAAATTCAGAGTCTAAATTCAGAGATTAGTCACATTCAAGACTAATTATTTTTATAATAAAATTATTATATGTATTTTTTATAATACAACAACCCACAAAATAACAGTAACTGGAGAAAAGTTGCTTGTTTTTGATTAATTAGAAAACTTATAAGCCAATTAGTTGGCCAGGGTAAATTAAAAATAAAATTACTTATTATAATTTAAAAAGTAGATAAATATATGCAATTGGAAAAAATAGCTTAAACCGAAATGAGAATGTCATTTTTTCATTAATAATAATAATAATTATTATTATTATTGCTACAACTATTGTCAGTAATAACTAGATATTTATTATTATTTTCTAATTATTATTGTCTCTTCTTCAACTGACCACAAATCAGTGTAAAGATTTAATGATCTTCGTCCAAGCAAAACAAAGAATAAAATCAAGCAATGGAACATGTATGGCTCAAGAAATGAGACAAAGTCAAGAAGCAATGTCAGGTGTGAACCCTGAAGGTTCCTGAGGGTTCCTGAAGGTTCCTGAGGGTTCCTGAAGGTTCCTGAGAAGATGGAACACACACACCACTAATTGGGCGCCGATGACCCCTGCCACAAAAAAAAAGTACAAAAAAAAATCAATGACAGTCAGCACAAAGACAGAAAAGAGGGGAAAGAATTGTCCCTTTTCACCACTATTTTTGTCCCCTTCTTTCAACATAGCAAATCTAAAGGAATAACAATTGCTATGCCAAAAGAGCGAGTTTCGGCGTATTTCGAAAGTAGAAACGAGGGGAGAATTTCTCTATTCAATTATCATCAAAGGAAACCGTTTTCGCCTCGGGAGTTTTCCCGCAATCCAAAATGGTATTGCCTTTCGAAATTATCACAAGTGACTTGGTAGTTGAATTCCTCGTTGAATACCCTTATCACCCAGGGGAAAGTTGTTCCGGGTAGTGGGGGTTCCGGGTAGTGGGGGTTCCGGGTGGTGGGGGTTCCGGGTGGTGGGTGTTCCGGGTGGTGGGTGTTCCGGGTGGTGGGTGTTCCGGGTGGTGGGTGTTCCGGGTGGTGGGTGTTCCGGGTGGTGGGTGTTCCGGGTGGTGGGTGTTCCGGGTGGTGGGTGTTCCGGGTGGTGGGTGTTCCGGGTGGTGGGTGTTCCGGGTAGTGGGTGTTCCGGGTGGTGGGTGTTCCGGGTGGTGGGTGTTCCGGGTGGTGGGTGTTCCGGGTGGTGGGTGTTCCGGGTGGTGGGTGTTCCGGGTGGTGGGTGTTCCGGGTAGTGGGTGTTCCGGGTGGTGGGGGTTCCGGGTGGTGGGGGTTCCGGGTGGTGGGTGTTCCGGGTGGTGGGTGTTCCGGGTGGTGGGTGTTCCGGGTGGTGGGTGTTCCGGGTGGTGGGGGTTCCGGGTGGTGGGGGTTCCGGGTAGTGGGTGTTCCGGGTGGTGGGTGTTCCGGGTGGTGGGTGTTCCGGGTGGTGGGTGTTCCGGGTGGTGGGTGTTCCGGGTGGTGGGTGTTCACCAAACTAGGCGTTCACAGTTCGAAAAGTCTTCAGGGGAGGGTGTGGTGTTCGGGAGAACGTGTTCAGTTAGTGAGATGTTCAGGAAGGAAGATGCGGTGAGGGGTAAGTGTTCAAGATGATGTTCTAGCGAGCACATGTTCAGGGTGGTGTGTGTGTGTGTTCAGTGTTCAAGTGAACAGATGTCTCTCCACAGTAAAACCATAACACCAAAATCGCACACCACTTTTCCCACCATATTTCCTCAAGCGACTAGTAACAGTGTTGGTGATTAGGGGATTATACTAATTAAGGATTAAAATGGATAAACGGCCCACATCGTAAATGAAAGACTAACAAAGAATTCAGCTGTTATAGACCCTGAAAAAACGAGGGGTCTAATGCAAGTCTTAACATACAGTCAATTTTTGCCTATTTCCCTCACTTTTCTTCTGCATCCTCAACTAATTCGTCTCACTTTGTACGCTGTCGTCCCAAACGTACATAATCAACTCACAAAAATCAACGTTTTCCACGCGTAGATTAGTTAGGTTAGGTGGGTGACTTGGGTATATATGCGTTTAATACCCCCCTATTGTGTTGTGTGTTGAGGCCAGTCAAGAAATCTTCAAAGATTACAATATGCACATTAAATGCACAAGACTACTGGTTCGCTTTTTCATTGAGGATTTTGTCTGATTTTAAATGTTTGTCCGGCATTAGTTGAAGTCGAAACTTGTACAAAGTTTTTCGAAATTTGTTCTACGAATATTTGTTCCATCAACTTTGTTCTACGAATATTTGTTCCATCAACTTTGTTCTACGAATATTTGTTCCATCAACTTTGTTCTACGAATATTTGTTCCATCAACTTTGTTCTACGAATATTTGTTCCATCAACTTTGTTCTACGAATATTTGTTCCATCAACTTTGTTCTACGAATATTTGTTCCATCAACTTTGTTCTACGAATATTTGTTCCATCAACTTTGTTCTACGAATATTTGTTCCATCAACTTTGTTCAACGAATATTTCCACCACATTTAATTAATAATATACGATTTTTCACCCTCTCCTTCCTAATATCAGAATATACAAATGATAACAATTGTGCTTCACTTCGAAGAATATTTTGGCCAAACAATTTCCTAGTTTCTCCATTAACGTCTCAGAACGCCTAAGTGTCTTGAGAAAATAACAGAAACTCAATCTAAGCAGTTCTTCTTAACAAATCAAAGTCCAACCATTCATTATAAAACAAGATTATATACATTCTTATCACCAAGTCCAACACAACACACGGTGCTCATTATCTCCGTGGACTGGCACTGTTCTCACTGCCACCGTGAACCCCCACAGTCATCTGAGAGATTAATCAAATCTCCCGTGAACTGCTTGCTGGATTACACTGGCGGAATGACTCTTGGATCTTATTACCGACAGTCATCCACTCCTTGAGGCGCCTCTGAAGACGACAAGCCTCGCATCCGTCTAAGTTGGAGGAAAGGGAGTTAGTAAGCTGTTAAAAGATGGGCAAATCAGCAGGGAAAGACTTGAAGACAGTGGAGAAGACAGTAGGGGTAAAGACTGGGAGTGGGAAAGACTCAAAGAAATGTAAGAGCTGCAAGAGAATGGGTAAGATTGTAGTGTAACAGCTAGAAGAAGCTAGGCAGAACCGTAGGGTAAAGGATATATGGGAGCAAGCAATGTATACAATGTATATATCAATGTATATATATCAGCACCAAATTAAGAAAATGTTACTCTTTTTGAAACAGCTTTTTTTCTTTATAACATTAAACTATCGTTTTGTTATTTTTTGCTTTTGTTGTTGTTGTTTACGTAAATGTGGATAAACGACACATAATGGATAATAGACAAGGCTATTATGTGGATAATAGCCTTGTCCTTACTACCCCATGTAGTAAGGACAAGGCTACTTGGGGTAGATGGGTGTAGATGAACTAGGGTATGGGGGGGGGATTGAAAGGGGTGTTGAGAATTCATTTCGATCAAGAAAAGGGCAGTGTTGTGGTGTTAACAAATAGAAGGGAAGAAAGAATAACTAATGAAAATGTGAATATGAAAGAGCAATACGAAAAATGAGTCAACAAGATATAATGAAGCTTAGGCTGAACGCGGCCGAATCTATACTGATTTTTTTTATCCCAGACAAAATCGTTTCTCTAGAAAAAGATATATTATTATTTTTCCACCATAAAGGACAACTTTTATTATACATATTTCGGTTCACATGTAGAATAAGGTTTTTCACCCACATTCCCCCAATTTATTGTGCACTAGAGCGCCCGCACCATCACTATTCTCACATTCTTCTTCACTATTCTCACATTCTTCTTCACTATTCTCACATTCTCACCACACAGTCATCCTTGTGAATTTCTTCTCTACATCCTGGCTGTGCATCATGCTTGGTTATGATATCTGTGTGTGTGTATATATATATATATTGGTTATCTATGAAAGATTTTAACTCTGTCTCTCTCTCTCTCTGTTTGAGATATCTCTCTCATCTCTCCCCTGCGGTTGAGTTCTGAGTACTGACGACAGCCTGACTAACCCTGGCACTCTCCTTTGGTACAGTGCCGCCTCGTTGGGTGGTTGAGCCCCATGACGTCAGTGTAATACGAGGAGAGGATGCAGTGCTCACCTGTCATGCCACTGGCTTCCCAGACCCCACCGTCACCTGGAGGCGCACCCGCGCAGGTAGGTTCTCAAGGTGTTCTAGAATCCCACATTACGTGTGGGAGGTTGGTGGTCAGTGGGGGATAGGTGTAAACACATAAGGGTATTGTAAATGAATATACAATTGTAGGGTTTTAGTTCATCCTTGTGGCGAAGGAACTTATGAGGAAGGACGTTCACAAGTACACTCCCACACACATACACAGTACAAGAGTGTCGAAAAATGTATATTTTCTTTGCACCAGGAAAGTTTAAACACTTGGTAGTAGACGTCAACTCTAATAACAGAGATATACGTCATGAGAATAACGAAGGCAGCCCCTTCATACTACAGTAGCTCTGGCAAAGAAACCTTCAGAGTACAAGGTTCATCCTACTTGGAACTTTCTCTAATGCATGCTACCCCAGCAAGGAACCCCCCCGCCCCCCCTCACTTGAACACTCGCAAAACAAATCTTGAAAAGGTCTTAAGATGCGTAACACGACTCGTTAATTGAGTTGACTAAACTACACAGAAAGACTCGAGAGAACTGGACTCATCACATTGGAGGAAAGATGAAACAGGGACCACTTAACAACAGACAAGATTCTAAGGAGAACTGAGCAGGTAAACAATAAAAAAATGTTCAAAGGAACAGCAGAACGTCGGGGGAGGAGGGGGGGAGATACAGATGAAAACGCAAATATCAGAGAGAACTTTTCCAGTGAATGAGTTGTAAATGAATAGAATGGCTTAGCTGAGCAATTAATCGAGGCTAACTCGATGCCGAGTTTTGTATCACGTATATGATGGGTTATCTTGAGGTTATCTTGAGATGATTTCGGGTAAACGGGTTGATATGGTCATTGAATTTTGACTTAATAATTGCTCGAAATGCGGGGCGTAGTAGCTAAAGCTCAACACACATATATATATAATCTTTACGAAACCCATTGGAGCAAGACGGGGAATCGAACCAGCGTCATTGGTGCTCCCAGATACATACCTATCTTGGTCCAATCTTAAGGCTCGCATCTGCGGCGACCAATGATTTTTGCAAAGATATATATATCAGACTATTGTCATTTCCCAGTGTATATGATCTTCTCTAACTATATTTCGTGACGATCTAAACCATAGTTTCGATAAGTAGCACTCACACAATTTTAATTTCCATTTGGCAATAATTACATTTCGATTTTTAGAAGAGAAACTCAAAATAAGTTTTAAAAAAATAGTTCGTCTAGGGCACTTGTACACAGGACACCGCCACTTAGGTCACCAACTAATTAACACACTTTTATGCATCTGATTGAATTGTGTCCGAAACGAATTGAGTTTTGTTACAAAAAAATATGTTTAGTTTCTTACATAATTGATATTAATTTTGAACAAATTTTTGTTTCATTTTCGCTTTTATGGATTGTTTAAAAATGGGTATTTGCTGCCTAAAGCCATGACCTCATGACTCTTAAAAATACATAGTTATCCCTTAGTTTACTATTATTATCCCAGAGTGTGATATCCCCGTTTTCTTTCTCAGGTCCTGGCAAAAGTGGGTACAGCGGTGTTGACATGGGCGTTGGCATGAGCGTTGGCATGGGTGTTGGCATGGGCGTAGGCGTGCCCATCAGCCGCACGTGGAGCAACGGGACCCTCCTGGTGGGGGCAGCGACAGAAGAGGCCGAGGGCAGCTACCTGTGCGAGGCTTCCAACGGAGTGGGGGCCGGCCTCTCTGCTATTATCAACCTCCAAGTGCACGGTAAGTAGTGGTAGTAGTAGTAGTAGTAGTAGTAGTAGTAGTAGTAGTAGTAGTAGTAGTAGTAGTAGTAGTAGTAGGCATCCATCAGTCTCAGAAGACTATGGAGTTGCGCTCTGGTTGTCGGTCTGGAGTGGCCTCTCCAGGGCGCAAAGCCAGGTTGATATGGAGGAGAAGCTGTTACCCATGCAGCAGGTCCCCCACTCTCCACGGCGCCGAAAGTAGTATAAGGGTAAACCAAGTACACGGTGAGGGATACCATAGTACCTCAGGTACACGGTGCACGATACCAAGTTCACGGTTCCAACAACACTAGATAATCTACGAGGATCTTAAGTGATATATAGTAACTATAGGAGACTTTTATAAGTAATTCCTGCAATAGTTGCGTATCTTTATGTCTAATAAGATACGCATCTTATACCTATAAGACACGTATAGACTTATACTATATGTCGATACTAAGCATCCCATCCTGTACAGACAAAGTTACTCCAGCGGGCTGGATATATATATATATATATATATATATATATATATATATATATATATATATATATATAACAAAACTCAAGGCTAAGATGGTCGCTTCCTAACCTCTCCTCCCACGGTACCCAGCATAAAAGTCTTTGATGTAAAAATATTTCTCCCAGACGCATCTAGCTCCCACCTGCTCCCACCTGCTCCCACCTGCTCCCACGTCTCTTTAATGAGCGCCAGGTAAATTTACTAATGGGGAAGTGTGTCTTAGACGTTTTTTTTCTCTTGAAAGCAGTTTGTAATGAACACGAAAATATGGTTGAAATTTTTTCGAAACATTCCTTTAGTTTATTAAATAATTTCCTATACAAATCCCTATTACATTTCATTAAAAACATATATATATATATATATATATATATATATATATATATATATATATATATATACTTAGTAGCCAGAACGCACTTTTCGGCCTACTATGCAAGGCCCGATTTGCTTAATAGGTCGAGTGATTTTCTTTATGTTGAAAAAATTGTTTCCAATTGGTTTATTTGAATTATTATTATTATAATATATTAAGAACATAAATTATTGACTTAGTTATATTAGTTTAGGTTGGGTTAAGATAGGCTAGGTTAGGTTAGGTTAGGGTAGGTTAGGTAAGATAGGTTAGGTAGGTTAGGTAGGGTAGGTTAGGTAGGGTAGGGTAGGTTAAGTAAGGTAGGGTAGGTTAGGTAGGGTAGGTTAGGCAGGGTAGGTTAGGTCGGGTAGGGTAGGTTAGGTAAGATAGGGTAGGTTAGGTAGGGTAGGTTAGGCAGGGTAGGTTAGGTAAGCAGTCATCGGGAGGACAAACCCTTCATGCAAACTGCACCTACTATCAAGAAGAAGAAGAAGGTTAGGTAGGTTAGGTAGGGTAGGGTAGGTTAGGTTCGGTCAAATGTCTTCGTTAGTTTTAACTAAAATTACAAAAAATGAACTTATACATAATTAAATGAATAACTTTATCATTTCATAAGAAAAAAAATAGAAAAACCTAACAGCTTACAGCTGTAAGGTGGGAGTGACGCTGACAGCTGTAAGGTGGGAGTGACGCTGACAGCTGTAAGGTGGGAGTGACGCTGACAGCTGTAAGGTGAGAGTGACGCTGACAGCTGTAAGGTGGGAGTGACGCTGACAGCTGTAAGGTGGGAGTGACGCTGACAGCTGTAAGGTGAGAGTGACGCTGACAGCTGTAAGGTGGGAGTGACGCTAGCAGCTGTAAGGTGGGAGTGACGCTGACAGCTGTAAGGTGAGAGTGACGCTGACAGCTGTAAGGTCGAGGAAACCGTTAATAGCTTCAGTTCGCTAAGTTCTCTCTCCAAGTTTCCCCTTCCAAGTTGACGCGATAAGTTGCCCAAAGGAGCTTATGGGACATAAGTTTGTCCTCCATCACTTGTCTCGAAAGTCCAAAGCCGCGGAGAAAAACTTGACAAGCCACAAATTACTGGGTTGGTGAGATGGGTGGCTTGAGGGGGGGGAGCCCTGGAGTGGGCAGGGGGGAGGGGGGAGGGAGAGATATAGAGGGAAATGTGTGTGTGTGTGTGTGTGTGTGTGTGTGTGTGTGTGTGTGTGTGTGTGTGTGTGTGTGTGTGTGTGTGTGTGTGTGTGTGTGTGTGCGTGTGTGTGTGTGTGTGTGTGCGTGTGTGAGTAAAGTCGACTTGTGTGGTTATCTTGAGATGATTTCGGGGCTTTAGTGGCCCCGCGGCCCGGTCCTCGACCAGGCCTCCACCCCCAGGAAGCAGCCCGTGACAACTGACTAACTCCCAGGTACCTATTTTACTGCTAGGTAACAGGGGCATAAGGTGAAAGAAATTATGCCCATTGTTTCTCGCCGGCGCCTGGGATCGAACCCGGGACTACAGGATCACAAGTCCAGCGTGCTGTCCGCTCGGCTCCCTCAATCATCATACATACAATCATCTCCTCGCATAGATTTTGCCAATCGCTTACGCAAAATTGTCACAGACGATATTTGTGATTGGATGAGGGATTGGTGATTGCACAATGGATTGGTGATCAAACCTTTCCATAACGCTAACTTTTTTGCCAAAGTTATATCCCCCTAGACTTCGTTTCCCGGCTGGAGAGTGCTTGGAACAGGAACTTAAACCAGTTGAAGCCTTGATGGGGGGGGATTCGAACCCGTACACTGGGAGCATAAGAGCATTAACAGTCACAATGTTAATTTCTTCACCCGGTCGCTCTATAAACACTATGTTTGACACTTGTTGAGGAAGGTGTTTGACACTTTTTAGCAGGATCTGACTTAGTGCATATGTTAACAGTTATTAATTCCAGTTGTTGGAATTAATCCAACATTAATCCAGCCTTATCGAGAAAGCCTTATCGAGGTCCCCCCCCCCTAAAGTCGAATTACTGACCCCTCCCCAAAAGGCCAACCCTTCCCCCTCCCACCCACAACAGTTGCCTGATTCCCGAGTACATATTTACCGCTAGGTGAACAGGGGCATTAGGTAACAGAGACCGCAGAAAGTGATGATGAACAAATGTTATTACGAACAACGTTTCTGAACAGTGCGTTTTCATATGTGAGTTCTTTTGTAGCTGTGTTCTTATGATATGATGTATACTATATCTGTTCTTCTATAATATGATGTATAATGTAGAGGTTATTCTATAATCTGATGGATACTGTAGAAGTTCTTCTATAATCTGATGAATCTATACTGCATCTTTTATCTTATAATTTTGTGCTGTACATTATTCAGCATTTGCAAAAGGAAATCACAACACCGTTGGGTGGCCAGGAACGCCAGTTCGATCCCTTTGTAGTGCCTCAGTATTTTCACTTATTCAGTATCTGTTTCATAATTAAAAACAAAAACAAGATATTATATCTGTGTCCACCTGTTAAATACAGTCAGAACTGTAGTTATTATCTGTAGTTACGATTCGCAATATAACAACATTACTTACCAGTTTGTTATTTAAATACAGCCAGAGCTGTAGCAATTTTTTGTAATTAGTCACAAATCGTAATAAATACAATAATTATACTACTTGTATATAATTTTATATTTATAAAAATTATATAATATAATAATATTATTTAATAATAGTATATAATAATTGAAACAGCCAGAGTTCCTTAGTAATACAATTAAATCTGTAGCTTATTTGTTTTGTAATTAAATCTAAATCTAAATTATGTGTTTGATGCTTTTTTGTCGCCGGCAGCGCCCCCTACGGTGTCGGGAGACGGGTCGGTTGAGGTCCGGCGAGGAGAGAGCGTGAAACTGCAGTGTGAGGCGAGGGGTGACTCGCCTATCTCCCTCACAGTGGCCAAGGACGGAAAACCCCTCGACACCAACGACTACAGGTGGGTCGTGAGTGACCTTCTGAGGGGTTATGCTCTCTGAGGGGTTATGGGATGGAGGGAGTATGCTCACTGAGGGGTTATGTGGTGGACGGATTATGCTCTCTGAGGGGTTATGTCATGGAGGGATTATGCTCTCTAAGGGG